AAAAATAATAGTCATCAGGTAGTTAAAAAAATGACTTCATACTTGCAGTTTAGTATGAAGTGATGCTAAAAGTTCAACACTCCCCCAAATCTGCATAAGCTTGTGAAGGATATTGTTTACTTTACCTTAGGCTACTGTTTAATTGTATCATTTGAGGGAAGTAGTTTAATTCCTTTTGCAGTTATTTCATAACCCACAAATTCAACTTTGCTCAGACCAAATTTGCATTTTGCAATGTTTATGCTCAGTCTATAGTTATTGAGCCTTCTGAAGACCAATTCAGGATGTTTTTTGTGTGTTTCTGCATCTGGTAAAACAATGAGATTGTTATCAAGGTAAGCAAGACACTAAGCCTAGGCTGCTCAGCACAGTGTTCATAAACCTTTGTGCAGCATTGTTTAAACCAAATGTCATATAAGGAAATTCAAGAAGTCGGATAGGTGTTATGAGGGCAGTCTTTGGAATATCAGCTTCGTGAACAGGAAGCTATTGGTAGGCCCTTATCAAATATGCAGTTGAAAAAATTGTTTTTCCATTCAAAATATTATACAGAAAGAGAACTGCTTTAGAAATATAGTGGGTAATGGTTTGGTAGGTGTTTACATTAAGTCCATGGTAATCACCATATGGTTTCCAGTCACTGGATTTTAAGTGAGATGTAATCGACTTGACCTTCTTGCAGCGTATAGTCGAATTCCTTTTTTGTAGGAATCAGCTTTTCTTGAGAAAGTTTTCTGATTTTAGAGAATATAGGATTTCCTTTCGTTTTGATGTAATGCTGCACATCATGTTCTTTAATTGGATCATTTTTTATGTTGTAATAATTTCAGGGATTAATTTCTAAAATCGGAAGTGCCGGAGCCCTGTAGAAAGTGGTCAGGAAGAAAAGAAAAAATAAAGTAATTAAATACCCGGTAATTAAATAATTAAGTTTAAATTAAAATTTAATAAAATACAAAGATATAAATAGAAAACAGGCAAAAGCTTATAAAAAATATGAAAAGTTTCAGATTTTAAATTACGTCCAAAGAGGCGCTTTTGTAACATTTTGTGTGTTACATTTATTTTTTAAATATCACATTCTTTGCACTTAAACCATAAAATTCAGTTCAACAGCAATATTGCAAAATAGTTTTAAAATGAGCATATCTGTAGAATTTCCAATATAGAGACTCACACGCTAGAGATAAAAATGTTTTTTCTGTACAACATTGCCATTGCTTGCTTTGAAATTCTTGAGTTTTTTAATCAAAAATTTGTTAAAATTTTACAAAATATGAAATCAATAATAAAACAAATTTCAAATTTGGGCTCCCATATTCGTAGGAGGATTACGCCATTCAAAATTCGATGGCTCTATGTACCGTTGTTTTATCACAATGTGAGAAATATACATACATTTATGCAGATTTTTCATTATTTAATTTCTTCAAATTTAATCCAGGACTCTTAACATTTAGTGGCAAATATTTTGAAAAGTGAAACGAATATTTATAGTGAACCAACGCAAAATTGCAAAACGAAAACAATAGTCCTTCAGGGACAAAGCCCTTCATTCAAAAACTAAAAAATAGCTCAGCCAGCATCTGGCTGAATTTAAGCCCTCAATATACAGTATTATAATATGCTATTTCAAGGGATGAGAGAAAAACAATTCTTTTTCCAACACACGAATGGGAAAAAGTAAAACAAAGAGTCACTACCAAGAACAAAGAGAATGCTAGAACCTAGTATGAAAGTATGAAAAGAAATTTTAATCGAGAAGAGTAGTTTTGAAACCAAAGAGAGAAGAGTCCATTGCTTTCTGACCACGATTCATTGCCAGTGTAATTCTAGCTGTCAAGCAGAATGTAACTGAATAAACATATTTTCCCCAAATCCTTTCCAATAACAATATGATAATGAAGATAAGGTTTGGGGTAATTTTTGTGTCCCATGTTTGGTTATATGTGGTTCAAATCTGCAGGAGCTCTACAGTGAGAGGGCAGCAGCGCTGGATGTGCTCGATCTAAGTAATCACTTTTACTACTCTCGCGAAGAAAACATTGCACCACTCTCTGAATATACTACATGGAGAATAAGCCTTTGACGTGTGGATAGGGACTTATCCTTCTTTAAAAGTGTTAACCTCCTCCAAAGTGTTTTTTCCCAAGAGAAAGACAGGCATGCATTTGGAAGTTATGCTAGATTTTTAAGCCACATTTATTTTTAAAATGAAATTTGCCCTCTGAAACTGTGTTTGACTTACTTGAAAGAAGTTCCGCAGACATTTTATTTAGAGCTTCGATATGCTGCTACTAGAATTACGATTTACCTCAGAAAGGCTCTGGTAACTCTGGCACATTTTAAGCTCTATGAAATTTTATAATTTTTTTGTTGAAGTAAATTAGGAAATTTATTTAAAATGTCTCTATAGTGGTTTTGGAAAGTATTAGCAATGGATGTAGGAGTGACGCTATTGTTACACACAGTACCTCTAGTTGTCAACGAGATGGTATTGTCGATTAATTTTCTATTTTTACTGTCAACTAATAAGTTAAACTGTGAAAGAAAGTCTATTCCAATACACTGACTACCAATAAGTATTTGGACACCTATGCAAATGACGATATCTGCGGTCCTAAGGTACGTCACGGGCTCCGCCGGTACATATCATGTAGGAAACAGCATCAGCTTTTAGTTGCATGCAAGATGCCTCGCAGATCGGAGCTATCTGATTTCGAGAAATGTATAATTATCGGGTATCACAAATGTAGCCGATCCTTAAGGGACATATCTAGCAATCTGAAGTACCCAAAATCGACGGTGACCTATGTGATTAAGAAGTGGAAAGTGAGCGGTGATTGTCGGAATGGTGCCCCGAGTCGGCAGACCAATGAAACTGGGAGATTGAGACCGACGAGTGCTGTCCAGAGAAATTCGGAAGAACCGCACCAAACCGAACCTCACGCTAGGAGTTTTCATCAACATGCGTCCAGGAGTATTGTTTCATGAACCATTCGTAAGGAGCCACATCTACTTGGTTTTCATGGTTTTTCTCCTCTGCCCATAAGCCTTTGATCACAAAGTCAACCGCGCTGCTCGGTTAATGTGGTGCAAAGCACATCGAAATTGGACCGTAGATCAGTGGAACGGGTTCTTTGGAGTGCGAATCAAGGTTCAACCCTTTACCGTTCGGATGCAGGGTCTAGGTCTGGGCGTCTACCTGAGAACGTCTCCGCCAGAATGCATTGTGCCAACTCCAAGTTCGGCGGAGGTAATTATGGTCTGGGGGTGTTTCTCCTGGTAACCAACGTTACCAATGTTTTTCGACGTTACTAACGGGTGGTATGGTGCCAAGGAGTTCTCGAATGGACTGGCCTGCCCAGAGTCCAGACCTGAACCCTATCGAGAGCCTCTGAGACGAGTTTGCATCGCCAAATTCAGGGGTGCACTACCCGTGCAAAATCGGGAAGGAACTTCTATGTCTTCTCCAAGCCGAGTGGAAGAAATAGCACTATGTTTCATACAAAGACTTGTGGAAAGTATGCCCCGGAAGGTCCACTCTGTAATTACCTCTCGTGGAGGCTCTACTAGCTATTGATTTTGAATAAAGTTATTTTTTCTTTTCTATCACAGGTGTCCAAATACTTATTGGTTGTCAGTGTAGTAGATTTATTGACATCTTAAGTTATTAAAAGTCAGCTAAAAAATTTGCTTAGCCCTAAATCCGGTTCTGACAATTTTTTAGCATATGTTTTGTTTGTTGTACCATTTGCTGCAAACAGCTCAAGCTTAAACACAGTTCTTTCTTCCGATGGCCATGGTGGGATAACTGATATTTCTGCTCCAGTTGAATTAAATCTGGGTTGTTGATGCATTGTCACTGTTGAACGTAGAAAATGCCGTGATTCGCAAAATAAATATTTATTACAGAGCAATCAATACGCAAAGTTACATGCAGAGAAATACAAGCAAAGTTACATGCAGATTTACAAGCAGAGTTACATGCAGATTTACAAGCAGAGATAAGCAGAGTGTGAAAACGTTTACAGAGGTCATATATATAACTTTACAACAGATAATGGTTTAAAAAATCATAAACAAGGCACATAAAACAACCAATCAAAAGTAACATAAGAATGGGATATTCTTATGTTACTTTTGATAGAATAATTCGGACCTGACTGAAAGCTAATGCATCTAACGTGACAGAAAGCTATTCTTCTTTTAACCAAACAAATGCGATTACAAATATCTCAACAGTCACAAATATATAGATGACTCAGCTCAACCTCTTGACTCTGACAGCTGGGGATTCAGTTTTCCTGTTGCGAAACGTGATATTTGCATGGTGGTGTACACTTATAAGCTTGCTAGCCAAAGCATTGGTGAAAATGACAGTTATTTGGGTGACTGTTATTTTTGGAATGATTTCTTGAATTTAGTGTGTATCTTCATCTTTCTGGACTGGAGTCTCTGTGTCTTCTTATTTAGCACTAAGTCTGATATCTCTTTTTGTAAATCTTGGGCGATATTATTATCAGATGGTAGAGAAATAATGCGAGCTACTTGAAGTGGATTGGGTGTTTAATTCCCATATTTTGTTAGCTATTGTGATAGTTCGAAGAATATAATTGTAATAGTTGTAATTGAATTGTTTCTTGACATTATCATGAGTTAAACTAAAACTGGTTCTGTCAAGTGTAAATATTGACAGAATGAGTTTTGGTTTAACTCATGATAAAGTGAAGAAATAGCTAAAAAAATTTTTAAATGTTTACATATGTCCCCTTTTTCCCTGCCTGATTAAAACTCAAATTCATTTTACAGTGATCGGTAAAGTCTTATTATATATTAAAGATTGATTTACTTTAAACTTATTTTAATATTAAAAAAAAGTTTGTTTGATGTAATACTGTATATAATTTCTCAATGTTTACACATCTGTGTAGAAGTTGAAGTAGAATTATGTTGTATGTTGAAATGTGGTTTCTTTAATGTGTGTATCTTTGTTTTAGGAATCACCTGATTATCAGATGCCTATGACTTGTATATATGAAAGTTCTCACAGAGCAAGAGAAAAAAATGCACAATTTATTCATGAATGTGATATATGTACAAAATATTTTGAAAGGTGGAGTGAGCAAGATCAAATAGAGTTTGTAGAACTGATGCTTTCTAAAATGTCACATTGCCAACACAGTCATGTTAGCACATTTTTAAGGCCCATGTTGCAGAGGGATTTCATATCACTTCTTCCAAGTGAGTCTTTTGTGTTTAATTAGGAGTCATGTGTTTCAAAATTTTAATTCTCTGCATTATTAAATTAGTTTATTCTTGTTATCAATTTTAACTTAAAAGTTCTGCAAAATAATTTTGAATATGAAATGTTAATAATATGGAATTTTTTCAGAAAATGGTCTTGATCATGTTGCTGAAAACATTTTATCTTATTTGGATGCTAAGTCATTGTGTGCTGCAGAAATTGTGTGTAAAGAATGGTATAGAGTGGTTTCAGAAGGAATGTTATGGAAGAAGCTGATTGAACGCCAAGTACGAACAGATTCCTTATGGAAGGGGTTAGCTGAAAGAAGAGGCTGGTAAGTTTTGTCATGGATTCATTAATTTCATTTTGAAAGCAAATTTTGTTGTTGTAGGAAATGTTTCTTACCAATAAATTTACATAGTATCATGAAATTTTATGAACATTTTTAATCTGAATATTTATGCAGGATAAAGCTTGAAATTGGGATGGCTATTAACTAAAAAAAATCTCTTTTCTGGATTGCTCACAGAAATCTTTCTTTTTTTAAGAAATTCCTTTTTTGTAGGTATTGTAAGAATGGCTATTATAATATTCACAAAAACGCAAGTATGCCATTTATCATGAAGAATTCTGGTTTCTTAGAGGATAAAATGTTTATCTGATATAATTTAACATGACTTGGTTACTGGCATGCAAGCATGCTTCATTACTAGTTTCAGGAACTGATGGAGTAGCTGGCAGAATTGGTGCTTTGTGACAAGTTCAAACATAAATTTATATCATTAGTTTAAATCTAGTGAGACGGCATGTAGAAATTACACAATTAAAATATGAAATCAGGATTTATTAAATATAGAAGCATTTATGATCTAAAGCAGTGGTGCCCAACCTGTGGCCTATCGCAAGCACGTTTGGAACTCAAAAATTGAAAGCGAGCCAGATACAAGCTCCTTTGGTCACCAATAGATGGTGCTGTTTTTCATTTAATTTTCTTTTTGTGTATGTATATACAGTCAAAAGTCGTTAATTCAGACACCCATAATCCGGACCTCAAAGCTACAAACTTTCTGCGCATGCATCGTGCAGAAACGGCCTTTACGACTGCGAATGCGTGTGTGCATGCGCATAATACGTTTATGCTTGCACGTTTAATGTATAACGGATGGTATAAGCTAAGCTAAAATTATCTAATTCAGTTAATGTTGCAGATTGCGTTGTTCCTTAATCTTCGAATTGGATCCGGCTTATTATTTTTTGCAGACTGTTAGAGCAATTTTATAAAAGTAAGCTTGAACTTTCAATTATGTCAAATAGAATTTCCGATATATATTTAGTAATATGTAAAGGATCTACAAAGCGAAAGTATGTTTCGAACTCCCTTAAACAAAAAGTGGAATTGCTACAAAAAATGGATAAAGGCATATCCTCCTTCGTTTCTCTAACCATTCCGAAATCTGTTTATCAATTTCACGCTGCTCTGCGGCGGGAAGGGGGGAACGCCGTGGCGCGCAATGAATTGGAAGTTAATCTGTCAGCACTATCCTTATCTTCGGGACAGATGTTTTTATTTTATTTGGCTTATAATTCCCTACTAAATGTAGTATTTCATCTCTATGTGCTCCGTCTTTGATATGATTTAAATCAAATTCCTCGTCATTATAATTCGCTTCCGATAAAGAATAAAATGACATATAGATTATTGAAAACGAAACAACTTACATTGAAAGAAATGTTTAATAAAGTAAACAAATAAATATTAAGCTTTTTTTTTTTTTTTTTTTTTTTTTTTGTAAATTTTGATACCCTTTAGATCATGATTTTTCTTTATTTCATAAATTACAGTTTCATATTTTTAATTTTATAATTTCTGCATGCCATCTTACCAGATTTAAAATGATGATCTATAATCCGGAATTGCCGAAGTCCCGACGAGTCCGGATTAACAACTTTTGACTGTACTATATATATTTGAGAATTTTTTTACCTTTAAATACATAAAAATACTAGATTTAATTTTTTTGAAGATAAGTATTTTTTTCACTTAAAATAAGATAAAAGTTATTTCATAACAGATTTTTATTTTATAAATTTTTTTGAGAGAAATATAAAAAAATTTCCTTTTTAAAAATTGTCTACTTCGAATTTGTTTTTTATCACAAACTTCGATATAAATACGCTATTGAAATAGTAGTAATGTTAGTCTTTTTAATTTATCAACATAAAAACCTATTTTAAATCCTCAAATTACAAAACTTATAAAATATAATTATTTAATGGTAACCGGTAAATAATGGGAAAGTAATACCGAATTTTTTCATTTAAACTGTGATATGCCTCATTATTAAGTATACAGTAAAAGTCATATTTAATGTAAAACAAATACCTGATAATTAATGTGTGGTACATATGTTGTTAAAGCCAAACTCGTACAGTCATTTAAGTGTTTATTTGTAATTTTTTATCTACATTTTGTCTTTAAATGTTTCATTCTTGAAAATCCACTTTCACAGAGGTAAGTAGATCCAAAGCAGGAAAACAGTCTCGGAAAAGTTTCTTTCATAAGGGGATATTTTCTCTCATCAACAAGGGTCCAAAAATCACTCTGCGGAAACCTTGCTTTTAATTGCAAATCTGACTGAAAATCTATAATTTCCATTTCCAGAACATCAACATTTTTGTTAAACATATTTCCAATCTTATGTGATACATCTGAAATATTAATTTCGGAAAAATGGGTTTGAGATGAATAATAATATTGATTGAACTTTATGGAAATCAGAGAAGCAGAGTTCAAAATTAAATGCATTTAGGTTTTCCGAGTATTTCTCTGTGTCAATTGCCTTGTGGTGTGGCTTGATAAATTCTGAAAATAGGTGAAATGTTTTTCTTTCATATGATTTATCCACAAATTTAGCTTTATCTGAAAAGCAGTTACAGTCCCAGTCAATTGAAAAAGGGTTTTTTTTCTTTCCCCTGGAGATCTTTATTCAGTTTGTTCAGTTTAGCTGTTATATCCACGAGAAAATACAGATCGGACAACCAGTTATTATCGTCCAGTTCTTTAGAACTTTCGTTTCCTGATTCTAAAAACTGCTTTATCGGCAAAAGAAGTTCTACAAATCGGTGAAGTACTTTTCCCTAGGTGAGCGAGCCATCTAACATCGGAATGAAGCAATAAGATTCCATGTTTGCTAGCAAGTTCATCAGTCAGCATTTTAAATAGTTTGCTTTGAAGTGGTCTGGCGTGGATATAATTCACAATTTTTACAACTACAGTCATTACATGCTCATAATGCAAGAATTTTGTACATAGTACCTGTTGATGAATAAAGCAGTGATAATGAAAGAAATTTGGAAATTCAGCATCATTCTTACACAATGCGATGAATCCAACAGTGGAACCAATCATGGCAGGGCCTCCCATTGTTTGTTATGGACACAAGTTTTTGAAGTGGCAGATCAAATTCCTTAATGTAATTTTTAATGTTTTGATATATATCTTTACCACGAGCATTTCCTTGAAAGGGCAAAACTGCAAGTAAATCTTTTACTGAGAAATCATTAAAAACCATTCTTAAAAATATGTTTAATTGAGCAGTATTGCATATGTCTGTTCATTCGTCACACTGCAAACTAAACAAAACACATTTTTTATATCATTTTGCTTTTGTTTCTCGATATTTTTAGCCAGTGATTCTATTCTATGAGTAACAGTATTTCCTGACAATTGAAAATTTTCAATGGCTGTAATTCTTTCTTTTTTATTTTTAAACTCTTGAAATAATGTTTCTGATGCAGCGACCATCGCTTCTTTAATTATGTTTCCATCATCAAATGGTTTCTTGTGCACTGCAAGGATGTGTGCAATCTTGAATGAAGCAACTGCAACGGCTCTCAATTCCGTTGCACGCTTAGTGAATACAGATTGTTGGGCTATTAATGCTGATTTCAATTCTTTCACTTTACATTTTCTTAAACTGCTGCCCATAGGAAATTCGATATCATATTTTTTATGAACTGTGGTAAAATGTTGTTCCACGTTGCATTTTTTGGAATCGCACATGTTGAGCCACAAATCAAACAAATACGTTTTTTTTTTTTGAATGAATAAAAAATATTTCTCTTCCCGATCTTCTTGAAAATTATATGTTCATTGCTTCTTTTTCTTAGATTCATAATCAGCCATAATTTGGGTGTCTATTTAAATAGAAAAAATTTTAGCATGCATAAACCTTTAACGATATACCTAAATCTTAAAAGTAATAAAAATATTCTAAGCCTTGTAAAAACTATGTGAATTCATAAGCATATTTCAATTGAGTTAAATGATAAACTCCCAAAAACACTATTGTAATAAAATCACAACAAGCAATCAAGGAACTCAAAAAAAAAAAAAAAAAAAAAAACAGTTTCTAAACAAGCATGCTTCACTGACCACCATGTTGAACACAATTACATAAACTTAAAGCTACAGTAAGATTTCAACTTACAGCTTAGAAAAAACCTCTAGCAAAAATACAAATTGTAAAATGAGTTAAGATGTGTAAAAAACATGTAACAAAAATTTCAGCATTTTAGTAACTGAAGCCCAAAAGATAAACATGTTGACAGCTGAATGCTGATGTCAGCTCTTTAAATCGGCGAAATGATGCCTGACTGACTATTTATATTTGATTATGGAAACAAAACTACTGCAGCTATATGGATGAGAGTGGTTGCAAAAGAAGGAGGGGAAATTAGCTTTAAGATGAACCAAAACTTGAAAATTCGATTTTTTTTTTCTTTTTTTTAAGAATTTCTCTTAAAAGGAGAGAAGTGGAGATGAAACGATCATTTAATTTTTGTATTGGAGCAGTTCACACAAAGATTGTAAATTTCCCCAAATTTTCTATCTCCGGTATTTCAGCAATTTGGCTTCTACGTAAAGTTTTTACTATTAAATCACTCATAATTCTTTTAAACTTTGATATTACTTTGAGTTCTTAACTGCATACATGACGAATGTATAAGAATGAATTTGCAGTCAATTATTTCATAATGTCTTGCAAGATATCTCTTATGACTATAAATGCTTATGATATTTTAACAATTAAGAAATATAAATGAATGGTTATTTTTAAAGTATATTTTTTGTTCATAGTACCTAATCCGGCTGGTGAGCACATACAAAACAATCGGCGAGCACAAGATTGGGCATCGCTGATCTGAAGGGTATCAAAATTTACCCCCCCAAAAAAGCTTAGTATTTATTTGTTTACTTTATTAAACATTTGTTTCAATGTAAGTTGTTTAAGTTGCTTCATTTTTTATCCTAAAACCATCTGTTTGATTCTG